CTTCCATTACAATAACAACCCTTATCTCCCTAACCCTTCCAATCCTTGCCACTCTCATCAACCCCAATAAAAAACACTCATACCCAAATTATGTAAAAACAACTGTAATATGTGCTTTCATCACTAGCCTTCTTGCAACAACTCTATTTATCTTCTCAAACCAAGAAACAATCATTTGAAGCTGACATTGAACGATAACCCAAACACTAGACCTAACACTAAGCTTCAAACTGGACTACTTTTCCATAATATTTACCCCAATCGCACTATTTATCACTTGATCCATTATAGAATTCTCACTATGATATATAAACTCAGATCCAAATATCAACCAATTCTTCAAATATCTCCTTATTTTTCTTACCGCTATACTAATCCTAACTACCGCCAACAACCTTTTTCAACTCTTCATTGGTTGAGAAGGCGTAGGAATCATATCCTTCCTTCTAATCAGCTGATGGCATACCCGAACAGATGCCAACACAGCAGCTATCCAAGCAATCCTATACAACCGCATTGGCGACATTGGTCTTATCCTAGCTATAACATGATTCCTCCTACATTACAACTCATGAGACTTCCAACAAATACTAGCCCTAAACTCCAACTCAAACCTCCTTCCATTGGTCGGCCTCCTTCTAGCAGCAATAGGAAAATCAGCTCAATTTGGCCTTCATCCCTGACTACCCTCTGCCATAGAAGGCCCAACTCCGGTCTCAGCTCTACTTCACTCTAGCACTATAGTCGTCGCCGGAGTATTCCTACTCATTCGACTTCACCCTCTAATAGAAAATAACACATTAGTCCAAAACTCCATACTATGCCTAGGAGCCATTACCACCTTATTCACAGCCATCTGTGCCCTTACACAAAATGACATTAAAAAAATCGTAGCCTTCTCCACCTCAAGTCAACTAGGCCTAATAATAGTTACAATTGGTATCAACCAACCATACCTAGCATTCCTACATATCTGCACCCACGCTTTCTTCAAAGCCATACTCTTCATTTGCTCTGGATCTATTATCCACAACCTAAATAACGAACAAGACATTCGAAAAATAGGAGGCCTATTTAAAACAATACCCCTAACCTCAACCTCCCTAACTATTGGTAACCTGGCACTCACAGGAATACCTTTCCTCACAGGCTTCTACTCCAAAGACCTTATCATCGAAGCCACAAATACGTCATATACCAATGCCTGAGCCCTATTCACTACTCTCATCGCCACTTCCCTAACAAGCGCCTACAGCACTCGAACTATCCTCCTCACTCTAACAGGACAACCACGCTTTCCAGCCTCAACAAACATTAATGAAAATCATCCTGCCTTACTAAATCCAATCAAACGCCTCACAATGGGCAGCATAATTGCAGGATTCCTTATTACCAATAGCATCCCCCCTATCTCACTTCCCCAACCAGCAATACCCCTACATCTAAAACTCTCAGCCCTATACGCAACTACCCTAGGCTTTCTAATAGCCCTAGATCTCATTCTCATAACAAATAATCTGAAAATAAAAAATCCACCACAAATATTTAAATTTTCCAACATATTAGGGTATTACCCAACTACAATTCACCGTATAATCCCCTACCAAAACCTACTTACAAGCCAAAACCTAGCTCTCCTCCTATTAGACTCAATATGACTAGAAAAATCTATACCCAAAATAATCTCACAAACACATATTACTGCTTCCACAACTGTAACCTCCCAAAAAGGTATAATTAAACTTTACTTCCTCTCTTTCCTCATTCCTCTTATTCTAATTACACTCCTAATAATATAATCACCTGTTACCCCGAGTAATCTCAATCACAATATACACACCAACAAACAACGTCCAACCAGCAACCACCACCAATCAACGCCCATAATCATACAAAGCACCCGCACCAATAGAATCGCCCCGAACTAACCCTGACCCCTCTCCCTCAAAAATCACTCAATCACCCATATCATTAAAACTAACTACCACTACCTCACCCAAGTCTAAAACCCATAAAACCAACCCCACTTCCATCACCAACCCCATTAAAAAAATCCCGAATACCTCAAGCCCTGAACCCCATGTCTCAGGGTACTCTTCAATAGCTATTGCTGTAGTATAACCAAAAACAACTATTATACCTCCCAAATAAACTAAAAGCATCATTAAACCCATATAAGCCCCTCCACAACTTAAAGTAATTACACAACCAACAACACCACTAATAACCAACGCCAAACCCCCATAGATAGGAGAAGGCTTAGAAGAAAAACCTACAAACCCCATAACTAATAGTACACTTAATGCAAACAAAACATACATCATTGCTTCCACATGGACTCCAA